AAAAAACCGAAACCGAACCGAAAAAAATCAAAACCGAAAAAAACCGAACCGAACCGTTTAAAACCGAACCCAGCTCTAATAATAATTCTGAGATGTGATTTGATAATTGTTTTAGGCGATGATCATTCGTGACACCTCAATATTCATGCTAAGGAGTTGTAGCGCGAACTCCAGGTGAGTGGGTATTTTTCTTTTTATTGTGTGTATATATATATATATATATATATATATAATTGATAGTTTCCACAATGCTTTTGTTTTGATTTATGCATTTCATGCCATGATTAAATTATGTTATGTTAAATGTTGCACTGTGGTGAAATGCCAAAATGATCCTACGGGATATGCTGGTAAGTTCGGGTAAGCTTATTATATTGTTTACAATCATTGAATCATTATGGCATGCATATAGTCATGTAGTGTTCATCATTGCTGCACCCCGGTGTTAGTGCTCCCGGCCCGGGCTAGGGCTAGCCTTCACGTGATTGTTCACCTTCTGTATCGAACGCTCGCCTTGGATCCAAGTTAGGAGCTAGCATGTCGTACAGGTCGCATTAGGCGACTCTGACTCATAGGTGACCGCGCAAAGCGCTAGCTTCACGTGATCGTAGAACTAAAGCGTATATTATTACACCTAGCCTGTCGTACAAGTCACATTAGGTGACTCCGACTCGTGTGCTAGCATAGATTGATGAGCCATAGGTGCAGTGGTACAAGTCATATTAGGTGACTCCGACTTGTGTGCTAGTATCGATTATTGAGCATATGATTATATTTATATTGCTAATGAGATACCTTGTTGAGGCATACTTCTGGATTTACTGTTAGCATGCATTTGATTTCATATGCTCAATATTTAGTACATGAAGTTTTTTTCGTCCCAAAGTCATACCTGAAGTGTTAATTTTGGGACAGTCTCATACATCTGTTAGTCTGGCTGTTAAGTTTTCCGTTAACTGATGATTAGGGTTTCACCAAAGTGATGGTGGAAGGGGACTCTAAACTCATCATTGATGTTGTGCAAGGTCAATGGGGAATTCCTTGGAGAGTCAGCTCTATAATCAATGATATTCGTATCCTAACTCGATCTTTTAGCCATGTTGACTGGAAGCACATTTTCAGGGAGGCAAACTTTGTTGCGGATGGTTTAGCTCACCTTGGTCTCTCCCTTTTGAATCCTCATTATTGGGATTTCTATTTACCTGATGTTGCTCTTGTTGCCTTTAATTTTGATTGTATTAAAAACGGTTGTACTAGAGGATTCGTGCTTTAATGAATTTCTTTGCATAAAAAAAAGAAGCAATAAATCGCTAATATTGAAAATAAAAGTTTTAAACAGTTGTTTGTGAAAATTAACTCTATAGTGGCTAACTTAAACACCCCTGGGCATTGGCATAAATCAAGTCTAGCCATGGAAGAAAATGCCGATAATATCGGCGATATATCGCCGATATTATCAGTTTTTCGCCGGACCGATATTTTAATAGGTATCCAAAGGGTTTTCGTCCAAATATCGCAATATTATCAATAATATCGATAATATCGCGATATTTCCGAAATTATCGCGATATTTTGGAATTGGGCTACTTGGAGAAGAACGTCGGAAATGGGTGTGCCAATTCCCGAGCCGATTTCGTCCCAAAAACCTTGCAAAAACACGATTAAGATCAAGATCTAAGCTACAGAGCGATTGAAAACACAACCACAATTCATATGCATGAATCAATTGAAGAGGTACGAAGGTGAGGGACCGGGAGTTGACCTGACCACCGACGGCGATGGCGACGATGGCGACGACGGCGACGACGAATGCGCTACCTTCGCCATAGTCCCCTAGAGCAGTACAAGCTCCCTGTCTGTTCTTTCTGCGGTGGTGAACGAAGGGCAGTGCAGCAGATCGAACTAATTTGAGCTTCACACTAACACGGAGAGAGAGATCCGAGACTTACCTAACCGGAAAATCAAAGAAGACTCGCCGAAGAGTTATGGGCTCCGCCATTCTCGCAGAGGCGGGAGAGAGAAGACTGATGTGTGATGATGGTGGTGTCCTCGATCTGCTCGAGTCGAGCAGATGGTGTTGCTGCGTGTGTGTGTGTCGTCACGGCAAGAGAGGGAGAGAGGTAAGAGGGTTTCGAACTTTCGAGAGAGAGAGACAGTGCAGAGAAGAGAGTGAGAGAAGGAAATGGGGTCTCGGGGTAGGGGAGAGACCCACGTAGTGGGTTGGGTTCTTTGTATTTTAAAAAGTTGTGGTCATGTTTTAATTATGAAAACCCACGTAGTGGGTTCTTTGTATTTTAAAAAGTTGTCCAAGTTTGAGATCCACCCACACTACGTGCGTGTTTTATAATTTTAAAAGTTTGAGATATATTTTATATATATATAAAGGTTATATAAATTTAAATTATGAATTATTTAGTTGAAAGGTAGGAGAAAACAAAAGAAGAAAAGGAAAAGGAAAAGAAAATAAGAAAGAAAAAAAAAAAAAAAAAACACCAAGGGGATTCAAACCCCTCCCTTTGTCAACCACACACCTAGACCTTATCCAACTCGCTATAGATGTGTTTGTAATTACATATTCAGCCTGTAATATTTATATGGTTGTTAAGATGTCTGCAAGGCTTGCAAGCTAATATTTATTATCTAGGATAAATTTCTATATTTAAAAAAACACCAAGGGGATTCGAACCACTCCCATTTTACTCCTTCAACACCTTGACCACCATATCACTTATGTTTTTGTGAAAATATGCTAAAATACACTTACTCTACACATAGAGATGATGAAGATAGTGAAAATTTTGAACCTCACAGGAACTCTATGTGGTACTAAGTCACTCATGTATCTTACCATGCAATGTATAAAGTGTAAAATATTGTACTAATTCATTATATATAAATGATTATGGTGTGTTTAAACTTCTTTCATTAATTACTACATATTTTTTACACTCACAATGTTTGCCAGCTCGCTATATAATCAACTTAAATTAGTTAAATCCATCATGCAATGCATTTCCTTCCAATTTTTTGTGATAAACTAATAGATAATTGACTAAATAAACATCCTGCAAAGTTTCATTAAAAATTTCCAAGTTTTTCTTACAATTTCCGTGGTTTCCATGTAATTTTTATCGATATCGATATTATCCCAATATTTCTATCGATATTTCCGTGTTTTCAGACTACCGATATATTTCCAATATTACCGATATTTTCTTCCTTGAGTCTAGCTACTAAAATATGCATAGCATTGAAACCACATTTGGGAAAAAGAGTAAAACAATATATTAATCTTAATTAACATCCAAAACTTCTGAGTCACAAAGAAATTTACCGCACATAACAAGAAAGAGATACGTATGCCATACCATACATTTAACTACCGGATAATGCTATGTAGACTAAATTTGTAGACGAAATGATATGTTACTAATAAAAAATAAACACATTACAAAATTTGATTTACAAATTTAATTTCTCTAGCATTACCGTTAATTATATAATACTAAAATTGTTTTAACCAATTTACCTCAACAGAAGAAAGATGACAAGAAACAAAAAAAAAACTAGGATAACGCTAGAAAAACTAAAATTTCACACCAAATTTACAAATCAAATTATGTATCATAAATAAAAATTAATTAAGCTACACAACACTTCGAAGATAACTCAATCATCTACACCCACTTCGTTTGGTTTATAAAATTTAGTTTAAATTTTTGTCTTCCTAATTTTAATAAGGGTGTGCTTTCCACATACCATTTTACTTCCCACACACCTTTTTATAATTTTTATCTGATAATCTTCTTCAATTCATCTAATCCGATGGTCGAAAATTAAAAAGATATGTAAAAAGTAAAATGAGATATATGAATATCACGTCATTTTTAATAGGGAACTTTAACGAAAAGCTCCCGATACTGTTTACTTTAATGAAAAACCATATTTTTACACTAAAAAGTCAATCCTAGTACTATTCACTTTACTCTTTATTTTGTCCTTATCGTTAAAACTCAAAGTTTTCAAACCCTTTTCATTAGTTTTCCTTTTTTAATATTGTTCCTACTTGCAAATATTTCCTCAATTTTCTTGTTCAATAAATAGTATCACTTGTTACTAAGAGCAGTTCCACCGGAGGGCTTTTTGCCCAGCACCCAGCTGAAAAAATAGGCTAGCACCCAGTGAATCCCCTCCAGCCGACGCAATTGACTGGCGCCCAGCCCAAGCCGGTCTCTAGCCCAGTCCAAAATTGACTGAGGCGTGGCCCGGTCCATCTGACGCCAGCGTGGCGTCCGACGCCTGGAACCCCGTCCCGATGCTTCGAACTCCGTCTCCGGCGAGGAAGACAGCTGGACGACGCTACCTTCGAGGACGAGGCTGCCGACCCGGAACTTCCTGTTGAGGACGAGCTGGTCTTGGAAGCTGTTGAGGACGATGACATCAAATCCGGTGATGCAGCTGAAGGTCAGGGCGTAGGTCCAGAGGCAGCGGGTTTGGAGCTGGCGAGCCCAGGCGCCGATGTCGACTAGTTTGGGGCGGGTCAAACCGCAGAGGGCGGTGGAGAGGAAGCAGAGGGTGAAGGGGAGGTGGAGATTTGATGGAGGGTAGAGATGGGGAGGGTGAGAGAGATGGCTCACGGTGATGGTGAAGGAGAGAGAGGGAGAGAGCTCACTGCCAAATTATTATTTTTTATTATTTTATAATAAAAAAAATAATATTTTAATAAAATGGACTAGGCTATTTTTTGTTAGGAGTGGAGATGCTTTGGCCTATTACTGTTTATATGGGTTTATTACTGTTCACTAGAGTGGATAAATGCGCTGAGTGCTAGCACAAAGTCCTTCGGAGTGGACTTGCTCTAAGGAGCGCGATAGAAATTAACAATAAAATAAAGCCTAGTTCGCTATTTTAGCTTAGGAACTCAAATTACATCAAGGTCTTTAATTTTTAGGTTTCATCAATAACTAAAACTACCTATAGAGAGAGAGAGAGAGAGAGAGAGAGAGAGAGAGAGAGAGAGAGAGAGAGAGAAGACAATTCTGCTAAATAATATGTTGCTGCCAAAATATCACAAAAGAAATTACTAGGCAGCTGCTACGACTAACTAAAGATGGCATCATGAGTTAATTCCAACTTGAAAATATTTGATATTTCAATTGTTTTTCTCAGTAAGGAGTGCGAGATGGAGGACCCCAAGCCATGACTTGATGATAATGATCAGGAGGGCTAGTGTTCATCTGGCACGTTGGACTCGCAACACCACTGCTCCGGCCACCGCCGCCGCCACCGTAAGTGTGACAACTTTGTTCATTAATGCAAGGCTTAGTATCCTCCTCACCTTCATATTCACCGCCACCCTCAACCGGCAAAGGCAACCTCTGAAGGGTCGGATCCAAAAACGTGGCGGCCACAACCATCACAGTACTCGCCGCCACAACCTTGCCCCCAACAATCCCTCCAAACACGTGCCCTTGCGCCCCCGCAAGACATATCGTGAACGACGAACAAGCCAGAAGAGAATAAGTCCCGGACATCGGTACTACGGCCGAACCACCACCACCACCAGCGGCGGAAGGAGAAGAAGAGCAAGCGATGACGGCCGGGAAGGAGTCTATGTAAGAGCCGGAGAGAGAGAGGAGGTTGAATGGACCCTGAAGAGACAGTGACGGTTCGTGGGGCCCGGCTGGGTGTCTCAGCTTTACGTTCAACACCGCCCCTGAACCGCTCAACACACTGATGCCAACCTGGCGCCTTCGGGCGTACTGTACAATCGTCTCCACCACATCGGACCCGGCGGAGATCTCGAGGACCACCGCCTTCATCGCTGACCCCGAGTCCTTGGTGATGACGATCGGGGGTTTGGGCTTGTTCTTGGACCCCGGCGGTCTCCCTCTCGGTTTCTTTGAGTTTGAGATGATAATATCACCCAACGGTGATACCATGTTCTTGTGTCCGGACGACGAACACCCTCCTCCTCCACCACCACTTGCGCCTCCAGAGAGTGTGGGGACGCTCCGGGGGCTGTGCATGGAGTCATCGTCGGAGGCTTGTTGAAGAGAAATTGCTGCCGCGCCACCAGCACCAGTGTCTGCCATTTTGAGAAACAAGAACAACACAGACACGAGAGAAGAAATAATTTGTTTGAAGGGCAAACAGTTTTTGGGGTTGTTTTATATAGAGCCAGTTTCAGGTACTCTATCTGGGATTGTCTGTGCTCATTGATGGACAAGTACTGAAGAAAGGAAGGAGGAGGGCCCACAGAAAAGTGGATCCGAAAGAGAAACAAGAAATTTTTAATTGTAACGATAAAATAAGTGGTACATTACGTATTTTAATAGAATGAGTGGAAAATTTTATTTTTAAAATTTTTAACTTTTTAACACATGTATCTCATAATTAATTTAATGACACGTAATGTATCATTCTGTGTTCTAATTACATTGAAAAATCTCTCAAAACAGAGAACAGAGAGCTTCTGGTTGGACAGAGAAACGGTGATGGACGTATGATCCTCTGTTTACTGGTTGCAAGCTAGGGCTCCAAGTACATTGTGGCATTGTCCATTTCCACGTACTGGACCCGCAAATACGCCGAGGCCTACACCTGTCAAATTTCTTGCACAACTGAACACGAAGCAAAAATAATAAGTTTCATGTCAATATTAGGTCGCCGGTTTAAGAGTTCTTAACAAGTTTATCTGTGAGTAATCCATTTCAACCCATTAAAAAACATTAATTTGATAATTTTAAACTACTAAAAAAATCTTACTAGCAACCGTAATAGGCACAAAATTTAATCTTACATAAGTGAGATTCAAATATTCCAAAGTACATTAAAAATACAAAAACAATTAAAAATTCATAATAATTAATTTACAACTGTGCAAAATGTGAAAAAAAAAATTATGCAAACATTTGTGATTGCATCTTTTAGGCTTTAACGATGGATACATTGTCATTTGGATTTTTAAAACCTTAATAAACCCTCTTTATTGAAACCAAATTCGCGTACTGCTATGAGCAGTGGAGATGAACAAATCTGAGAAACATGTAAAAAGGAAAAAAACCGTGAGCAAGCCTAAGATCCGGGGGGGGGGGGGAGGAGAGTGAGGGTCTGCTGGCCAAAGGCTCTCCGACAATCAAGTGAGTAAGCAAATATAAGACTTAAGCAATGAGCAAGAAAATTAGAATGCATAGATTGTGTTACCAGAGACGAAACCTAAATACATGTATATATATATGTATCAATATGGAGAGAAACCTTTTTAGGATAGAATCCTTGTTCTAAGCTGGGAGAATCCTAGAGGATATCTAGAAGTAGATATTGCATCATCTTTCGGAGTGTGATGTGGTGCACGCCAATTCTTAGATTGTAGGAACACCAAGATTTATCGAGATACGGCTAATTCCATTCTAGATCGATCAAAAATCCTATGTCTTGTGGAACAAGCATGGTCATTCTAGCTAAGTTACTCAGACTTTGCCCATTGCCCCAGAGCATAGTGATGGTGGCACTGCTGCTCTGTTTGATCCAGCTCCATTTATAGCTAGTGAGTCCATGACCGAACTTTTGAGGTAGCTATATCTCGATCAGCCTTATTTCGGCCCCACAACTACCCCTAACTATGTATCTGAAAACAACTTTTTTCCTTTAGGATGGATACTTATCCAAAGACCATGTTTTTCGGAGTAAGCTGGAATACGTACCATTTAATCTTATGTTTTCATATGGTGATCCGACTCCTTGTGAAGTAATGGAGACGTTTCGGATTGAGACATGCAGTCTTGAGTACCGTACTATAAATGGTGTAAAGATGATGTCTACTTTTGTTGCGTGTGCACCAAAATAAGAAATTACCTCTAATACTCTTCATTGATTTTAACCGTCAGATTTGTTGATCCCAAGAAAAGCCAGTTCATATTCAATAGCTAGATGGCTTCATTAAATGCTATCTATTAACCTCGAACCATTTTCTTCCTCTTTTAAAAAATCCCTAAATTGTTTAAGGAAAAAAGGCTCCAACTTTCTTCCCTTACTCATTAAAAAATTTCCTAATCTTTTCAACCCTTTTCCATGGTATTTGCTAGCAAGACTTCAAAATTACACAAGGTCTCACCTTACAATCTTCCGCTAACGAGAGTCTATAGTAGAGAAGAGGGCCAAGCCTTTGTTGAAAGTCATCTAGATATCTTAAATCAATGTAAAGTTTGGTGGGAACCTAGCCAAGATGTTAATGTTAATCTTCTTGTGCCATTTGATCCCTCTGTGTCCCTGCACCAAAATTCATCCATGGTTCTTAGACCTAAGTCTAAGGTTTCCTCTACCTGACCTTCTAAGCGGCATCTTGATTAGCTACAACATGGCTATCTGCAACCAAACCCTAACCGCTTTCATACTCAACACGTGCTTCAAGATTCTAAATCAATGGTATGGGGCTAAACTTGGCCTTCAAAAATTTAGAGTGTTATTCAATGCATGTAAAAACTTTGATGGCCACAATTACTTCATGCTCAGACCCAGCCTCATCTGGGAGCTATACATCTTGGATGTCCCTTCACACGACAATGATTGGTTCAAAGACATTCTTGCTGTTGACGGTGATTAGGAGTGAGATGTCACGGGAGTTAGAGTTAGGACTATTCTTTCTCCCAATTTTAATTCAATAATGAATTGGAAGACATAGGGGTGTGTCGGCCAGAGTTGATTAACCAAGCAATGCAAATTCCTGCCAAGTACCATAACTAGAAATGGTTGTTTTTCCCAATTTGATTTTCTGATCATGGGAAGAGTCGTACTATCAATATTGCTCAAAGTTCTCCCATCCTGAATCCAGAATGGATTGGAGCAAAAAATGCCCATAAGGGGATCCATTTCTTTAAGTCCAAAATATCTCCAACTTCTGAGAAGAAAACCCGAAAAAGATCTGACTCTGCGTTTTCAACACTATTAGTTGCTCCTTACCAAACATATATGTCGATAACAGATATGGCACCCGAGAATACGAAAACAGAGGAAGAGACTCCATTGTTAAGGAAAAATATACCAACTTCCTCCATCTTTCTCACAAAGACCATTGCAAACTTCAAACCTGATGCCCCACCGTCACAGTAGCAAAAGATTTCACTGGCACATGCTAGTGAAGTCCAGTCCCAGAAACTTCCTTTTACTCCAATTCAGAATCTTTTAGTGGCAAAAGGGATTACCCAAACCTATGGGGGCATTCACATGGTTGATACTTCTTTACCTATTGCTTTGCATATACTTGAAGAGATGATGTAACCTCTACTTGTGCTCAGACCGTGATAAACCACATTGTTTTCCCGATGAATGCCAGCGGTCTTCGAAACGCGGATTACACTTGAGCTTTACTTGGTTTTGCGATTGCTCTTGCAAATTAAAAGAAGGTTCGCATAACCTTCAAAAATGTCATGATGCGATGTCATGAAAGCTGTTATACGGTAATTCATCATTCCTTTTTTTGCAAAATGATTTCAGTAATTTTCGTCTTTTCCTTCTAACTCATATTGGTCAGGATCACGTATAGACGAAAGAGTCATTCTTTCGACAAGTGGAGTAGATTCGCCATCTTAATTGGTTTTCCTTACAAGAATCAGAGGCTACATTGAAGCTTGAGTAGCAAGTACAAGCTCAGTTGGCGAAGCTCAAAATAATGGAGAAGTACATCGATGAGGCTACCCTTGAGGAAATGAAGATGAGTAACAACAAAGCTGATCTCATTAATGCGCAAGATGAGCTAGAGCAAAAGCTTAAGGTCAAAGTTGAATCGAAACGGGTACTATCTTCAAAACGGAGTGCTGAGGAAGCATACATGATGGCCTGTAGTCAGAGGTGGAGAAACTTCGTAACAAGGTTCAGCAAAAAGACAACGTTCATTGTATGATCTTCAACAACTTAAGGATTTGCATGAGTTAGAGTTTGAGGCTTTTTGTGTTGCTCATAGGAAGCCAATTAAAGAAGAATATACCGAATGGTACAACCTCGAGTATCTTTTAGGCTACACGCGACGAGACCATCTTGGTGGCTGGGACATCCATAAGATCTACGAAGAAATCGAAAATACTAACTTCCTTATGCTAGAAGACTTACTAAACGAGATCTTGGATCTAGAAGCAAAGCGAGAGGGAAAGTGTAGCTCTAGTGATGATCTAGTATCCAATGTGCCTACTGATCCTTCGACTTCTGCTAGAGAAAAGGGTGTTGGTAAAAGAGATTGACTTAATGTTTTGCCAGGATAGGAGCATATGTCTCTTCTAAGACTCAGATTTATTTGCCTCTGTATTAAAAAGTTTTATTCTTTCATTAATTGCTTCTTTGTGTGTGTATATGTTTGTCTTTTTAAATGAACATCGATCAAGTTTTAGGAACTTCTCGTCATTTGCTTCTATATTCGAGAATATAGTTTAATCTGACAATCGTTGACAATCTTTTCGAAGTAAGCTAACTTCGAAGTAATGAGTGACAGAGCGGAACACGAGTAAGTTTGTGAGCCAAGGATAGAGCTCGAATGCCTCCTTAGTAATGCTGATTCGAACAACATTACCTATCCTCATCATGATTGCCAAAGTACCACCTTACTTTGGTACCGAAATTAAACCCATGAAAAATATTTACTCTACAATTGCCTCAGTTTATTGATCAGATTAAGGATGGGAAAGTAACGTCCTGACTTTTGGAATGGCTTCCAATCTTTGTTTTGCTTGCCCCTGATTCATGGTTGAAGGTCTTCGTATATGTAATGTGTAACTTAAGGAAGGTTTCTTCCTTAGTGATAGGAGCATATTTATGCGACTTAGTTAGCTTGTTTTCTTGCACTTTTATAGTTAGTTTGTGGTTATTAAAGTGTTTTAAGCTATTTTTGTGTGTTTGTAGGTCTAAATGACAAAGTTGGCAAGAAAGTGAATTTTGGAGCATTTTGGAGCAGTTTTGGGCACTAAATGGATAGCACATGTATGGGCCAAGATGGATGGACGAATTTGGAGTTCAAAAGGCTAGGAATCTGATAAGAAGAGGAAGAAATTAAATTCAAGACAAAAAAAGATAAGGAATAAGCTCAAAAGAGGAAACATTATCCACAACCTTATCCAACCTTATCTTATCCAAACCAACCTTATCTTATCTTATCCTATCCTAATCTTATCATGTCTTAATCCTAGCTGCAAGGGGACCTAAATATATATTTCTAGAACCTATTTCTAGAAGATTTCCCTTCTAGAAGTCCCAAATCAGCCACAAAACACA